GAAGTGATAAGAGAAAATACAAGTGACCTCCAGAGCAAGGTACTCCTGTTGAGAAGTTGAGTAGTTTAAGATCTGATTTTAAGAGGTCCTGGATACCTTCTAGAAGTTGCTTCCTGAAGCGTCTGCACATTGGCACCCTACATATTTTAAACTGAGCCTGCAAAAACACAGCATGGATGGGCACTCCTAAATGTGGTGGCCTACGTGACTTCCTTGTAGTCACTTGGCAGTTAAATAATAGAAATAGGAACATAGGGTTTCTTCTGTCTATTGTGTCCATTAGAACAATACTGCTGAGAGCAACTGAGATCAAGGGCCCGGCCTTCAAAATACATGACTTGAAAGGAGAGCTGCATTTTTTTGGTAAGGTCCAAATGTATTTCATTCGCCTTTGCTGCTACTCCCAAAGTTTGGTTGTAAACAAGTGTGATTTTTACCCTGGAAGCCACACATCTGGATTGCAGTGCCTCTAACTGTTTTCATCATCACAAGTAGTTACTGGCTTCGTAATGTTCTGCCTGTGCAGAAAACAGCTTGTAAGAGGTAACCTGAGCAAACCCTATTTTACAATTGAAGAGCTTAAATGTCTTAAATCACCGGTCTGCAAGATAGCCACAGCCATTAACTTTCTATATATGACCCTGAAGTCTTACAATTCTGCATTTCTAGCCCTGCAGAGTTGTTCTGATTCTGAACTGCTCTCTTATCAAATTTCCATGCTCTTTGTCCAGATAGCACAACTGTTCAAAGCAGTGAGGTACCAACTGCTTTTGTGGGAGATGAGGATGAACTTGAGTAGAGCTCACCTAGAGCTATACACCTTTTTGTAGCTATACAGCAATTAAACTTTGAAAATAATTTCTGTACATCGTAAATATAGTGATGTAAGCTGTCAGGGTTATCAACACTTGATGTCAAGAGACAAAATAATGTCGGACCTGAATAACTTCTGTTTAAGTAACAGGTTGTTTCCTCACTGAACAGTTGGCGTATCCTGGAGTCTTTGGATTCTGCACTGTGGAGGCTGAATGTATATGAATTAATTAATATTTAAAATGTTCTACGTCCCTGATTCCAGCCTCAGTTCCCCAAACTATGACAATGCAGGTGATCACAGAAAAGCCACCAGAACAAATAGCCACTGAATTCCAGTATGGAAAAGGAACCACAGAAAGGGACGGGGAATTTGGAGACTTCCAATTTGTGCATAGTTCATACAAAGTAGGGGTCCAGGGGTACTTGGCTGCTGACAGAATGAGAAGGGGACAAGAACTGTTCACTCTAAGAGACTGGGGGCACTTAGGAGAAGCTGCATTTGTTTGGAGGATTTGACATTCACTGGTTCTGTGCTTTCCCTTCTGCTTCCTGTAAAGGTCATCCACAAAGCCTTTCCAAACTTCCAAGCATGGTGGTAAGGTCCTCAGCATGGGAGAGTAAAATTGAGTGGGTTTGCTCCAAATTTGCTGTTATCTTCTGCTCCTAAATTGTTCCTACTCCTAGTTAAACCTGTGGCTTGCCAACTGACTTCTGTGTAACTTGTGGCTGATTACCTCATGTTCCCAGTTTCCTTTACACTTGTCTGGGCTATTCTTTGCTCTCACAAGCAGAAATATGGGCAGAGCCATACCACAGTCACTTATCAACCACATCACTTCAAGCAAACCAATAGGACTGCACACCCCCAGTCTGGGTAATGCCATGATGTGGCATTGTTCGAAGCTCTGCAGAGTTACTGATGGCCCAGGAAAGGCAGGCGGTAAAGGGCAGAGAGAGGCGTAATGTATGTTTGTCTGGCATTCCCACACCGTTCTTCTGACTGTGTGTCTCTGTTTCATAAATCATTAATAAATGATACTTCTGAATAAATACTTTCTCTGTATCTTCTCCAATGCTAAGGATTAATTTTGCATGGGTCTATGCATTTATTGTGTTCTTCAGCAGTCACAGAAATTAATCTCTTGGCCAGATTATATGAATGATGTTCCACATTAATTACATATTATGACTTTTCTGGATGATATAAAGTCAAGTTTAGGGAAGGACCTGTCTTTGGTTCTGTCTAACAGTGTTTTTCTTCTCTAATGAACAATGTGTTGCAGTATAGAGATACCTGTAATTTACAGCCTTTTTTTGAGTTTAAAGTAAGATCATGATTAATGTTTTATACGAAGCAAGGTGGTGAATAGGAGAGTTCATTGACTTTTCATCCCTGGAATCACCCAAACACTGGTTTACATTCCAAATAAAATATTTGGTGGGTTTCACACCAGTCTTTACCAGTGCATATCACAATGTTGCTGTTGGGAAAAACTGAACTTATTAAGGCAGTATATTTTAAAAATTGGCTCCAGCACCACACAGCTGGCAACAAGGAAAAAATAATCTAAGGCAGCATGTAAAAAACTTGTTCTCTAGTTAGACTGTGAATTTTCCAATAACTGCCTCCAACAGACCACCCTATGACACTGATTGCAAACACATAAAGCCTGATTGTTTCAGAAGTCATATAAATAAAATGTAGATGTTGAAATGCCAGCCTCCCACTATTCGCCTCCAACCTTTTTGTTTCATCTCTTACTGCTTATTTTGCTTTCTTCGTTCCTGGTGTCCTTCCTCTCACTGATGTTTTCTTTCAGTAACCCCCTCTTTTCCTCTCAGAACGGAGTGAAGGTTTTAACTTCAGTGGCAGAATAGGAGCCAGCAGACAATGAAAAGAAACTGGGGCAGCAAATTCTGTGAGCACACCAAGCACCCAAGAACAGAACAGGGAAGGGTATTTGTGTGTGCTCATAACTTGCCACATGCCTGGTACCGACCTGAGCAAGCCAGCGTATCACTGGAATAGTAATTCTCTAATGTATGAGCCTAGCTCACTGTGTGTTGTTATTCGTAGCTGTTAGTTTTACAACTTGGAACTGCTCTAAGATCTTCTTTTAATCTTTCACTTCACATGCCCTTGTTTTAGATAAAAAGGGCTTAATAATCAAAGAGAAAAATACCTGGGGAAGTACAAAACATAACTGGGATGAAAAGGCTTTCAGACTTGTGTTTGTCAATTTTGAGCTTGATGACATAGAAGTGCTTCAAGCTGTGTATGAAAATAACTGAAAAAATCTTCTCCTACCTGAAAGCAACAATAAAAGTAACTTATTTTGAGCTGCTACAGCCAATCATTGTTACACCATTACAACGAATCCCATTGAAAGCGACTGACGAAAGGAAGTGCCAATTTTTTGCCTTAAGGGCATTTTGAGGCGGCCAGGACAAGGCCTGCACTACTGCAAACAGCAGCCTGTGACCGTGCACCGCACCCTCACGGCTCGCTGCTCTCATGGAAGCTTCCCAGAGAAAACCCTGGAGAAAGCTCCAGTGGCACACTGTTTGAAGGCCAGGAGAAAGACGTGTAAACAGCCGAGTAGATTTTTGAGGCATTTCTTCTTGTCATCTTGGAAAATGGAGTACACGCGCAAGGACAGACTACTGATTACTCAGAGAAAGCCAAACTATGGAAACAGGAAAAATAGTAGACTAATTAACCTAGATCACAGCAAAAGCCAAGAAGCTCTCACTCCTGTTGTCTTGAACTAAAATAGATCAAGTACTTCCTGTTTTATAAAATGCTTTCTGTAAGGGATGTTTACTAAAAGACAATGTTGGTGTGAGGACAAGGCTGCTTTAACAAATATACTTGTAGAATGGCTGCAGCTCAAATATATCTGCACGGCACGAATATGCAATGAACTAAAAATCTGTAAGATTTAGTGCTGTGGGTCATAGTTCTGACAAGCCACTGATTTCACACTTCACAAGGTGAGCTGCAGTGCAAGGTGAAATGGGACCTCTCAAGGATCTCTGCAGTTCCCGCTCCCAGTCCCTCTCCCCTTTAAATTATCTTCTTAAAAAAAGTGTGTGTCAGTATGGATCATAGAATCACTTTGGTTGGAAAAGACCTTTAAGATCATAGAGTCCAACCTTTAACCTAACCCTGCCATCCCACCACTAAACCATGTCCCTAAACACCTCAACTATCCTTCTTTTAAATACCTCCAGGGATGAGGACTCTATCACCTCCCTGGGCAGCCCATTCCAGAGCCTGACAACCCTTTCAGTGAAGAAGTTTTTCTTAATGTCTAGCCTAAACCTGCCCTGGTGCAGCTTCAAACCATTCCCCCTCGTCCTATCATCTGTTACCAGGGTGAAGAGGCCGACCCCCACCTCACTACAGCCTCCTTTCAGGCAGTTGTAGAGGGCGATCAGGTCTCCCCTCAGCCTCCTCTTCTCCAGACTAAATAACCCCAGTTCCCTCAGCTGCTCCTCATATGACTTGTGTTCCAGACCCCTCACCAGCTTGGTTGCTCTCCTCTGGACATGTTCCAGCAACGCAACATCTTTCTTCTAGTGAGGGGCCCAAAACTGAACACAGTATTCGAGGTGCGGCCTCACCAGCACCGAGTACAGGGAATACACGCTTCTGGTTTTCATTTGTCATTTCTTTGGCTATTTGGGTCAGTGACAAGTTTTTGTAAACATCTCTTGTTGGAGCTAATTAGTGTGAAATGTACTGCAAATTTATCACTGTTTTCCTTACTAAAAATTAAGCAAGTCGATAAGAGTTCCACAAAACCATAATTAACTTTCCTTTTGAAAACAAAAGGGATACATTTTTAAAATGTTTTTATTGCTTTAGTACTGCATGTTACCAAAAAATGTGTGTCGCAGCAAAACACTCTAAGAACAGGGATGAGTGCAAACCAAACAAATCAGAAAGTAAATTATCTATGAAACCACTGATTTCAGTGCAACAGGGAACAGTAATACAAATTTGGAAACATGGATAATGCAGAACTTTTTTTTTTTTCTCTGTTGGAGTTCCCAACATAGGTCAAAGTATTGCACTACACTGGGATTTCAATTCTTTTCCTCCCAGAGAGACCTAAACATTGTCCCCAACACCACCTTTATTTTGCTGGTATAGAAAAAAAAACTAGTCCTGAGAAAGACTGCAACCTATTCTGTCTTGCCAAGGCAATAGCTCTGAAATGTGCTGTCTTCAGATGCTGGACAGAAAGATAAGAACTTGGATCATAAAAATGTGGATTCCACACCACGACTACTTCTCAGATCTCTATTCCAATCAGTTTGTACTGATTTCCAAAAGCATAACTTCCCCAGGAACACAGCTAGCATGAGCACTTTACTCGGATGCTTCAACAGAACTCCACAAATCTTACGTTCTGTCTGGCTTTCTTCTCTTAGCACCTCTACAAAAAGGGATTCTGAAGTGAAGGGATGACCGATACCTTTATTTTTTGGTCCACACAAACATACTAAACAATACCTTCCTCTACCTCTGATGCCAAGTGAAACCAAAGTGCAGCTAAAGTTACCCAAATCCCTGGATGTGCAGCCATCTCTTTGGCACCACTGTCCATCTGATGTTGGTACTTGGCTTTTTCTGGTTAAGTCATAAATTGTGGTATTTTCTCTGAAGTGTTTATAGGCTGGCAAATTCCCATTGTGAGGACCTGTTCACAGCCTAGTGTAGCTTACAAAGTTAAAATAATCCTTTTTTCTCCCCTGTTCAGTATTTCTTTTAATGTTATGAGATAATTGACATTTCTTCCCTCTCTCTGCTCTCATTTATGAAGGTGATAATGCTTCTGAAGTATTTAATAAATTCCATCCGAACATCTTCAGGATCTTCTTCTAAGTTGGAATGTATTAGTTTCAGCTTGTTCAGCGGGTAAGCTTTAAAGGTAAATAAAAAATAATTAGGTGTGTTCCTTTTATAAAAGAAATATTCACAATCAAGCTCATGGGACAGCTCATGCTGAAGTCAGTTGGAATTCAGTAGTATCCAATGTTTGATACCCCAGATAACATACAACACATGAAGAAGAAATGCATCATAGCTTGTTAGCATTGCAAACAAGTACACCTTGTTGCTAGATTAAATTCTTCAAACATTGTTATTAAAGCTTAAAGTATTTGTTTTGGTCTCACATTCAGCTAAGCAGAATCGAACAATTCAGCACTGAATTGCAATTTTACTATTGAAGTGATATGACATTCTTTGATTACTTCAAAATTATGAAACGATTGTTATGTTACATATGTATTAATATATTAATAGTTATAATAAATATGTATTTGTTTGAACACTTGGAAGAGGTTGCCCAGGGGGACCATGTGTTCTCGTATAAACAGCCACAAATAATTCTGCAGTATATAAAATAGCTATTTCTGATTTTAAGAGGAAGATTATTAGATTTTCATTTCAAAAGGCTCCTATTCTCTTGATCGATAAAATGCAGGCTCAAACATGTCAGTTAACAGAAGATAAAATTCAGCGTAAGAAACAAACTACTAGTGATTATGACATACAGCTACAGACATCAGGAGTTCCAATTCCTGGCTCAGCTACATACTCACCGTGTGACCTTAGAGAAGTCAAACTTTTCTTTATTTTCCCTTTTGTGAAAAAGGAATATTGCTCATCTAGATGACCTTTGAAATTCATTATTTCTGTTTTCGCAAAGCACTCTACTATTTTTTGATTGGCAGATTTAATGAAAAATGCAAGCCATAAGGTATGAACAATTTAAAAGATAAATAGATCAATAAAAAACTCTTGAGTTAGAGATCGAGTTTTCCATCTTCTTACCCAAGGACAGATTTTCTGTGTCCCCCACACTGCCTGGCTTGTGATGTGCAACTAGGAGACACTGACTATCAAGCAGTGGCTGCTGCTGCACAAAACAGGAGTACCACATTTCAATTTCTTTCAGGTGACTGGGCAGCTCAGGATTGAAGATTATTATTACGCCGTGAGAGTCCTTCATCAGAGCTGGCCAGCATGTTTCAAACCTTGAAAAACAGGTGCATGGAAGATGGTAAGATTGATAGCTGGAAAACAGAAACACGCACTAAAACTTCAAGTTTTCTTTTTCACTCAAGAACACATTTCAGTATTTTTCTTTATTATAACATCAGTAATCTTGACAGTGATCTATCATACTGCAAATATTTTGACTTACCTATTACGTTAGTTGGTCCCATGATTTGCTGACAATGTAGTATTTGGTCAAATGCGTATTTAAACTTTCTCCCCAAAAATTGCTCTGTCCAGTTGTCAATTGTATCTTTTGGAAATGAAGGCCTAAATCATATACATACATATATACACATTGTTTGACGTCCACTCACATAATTTCAAGGAGATAAAGGCAATTACAGTCAGCTTCTGTCTCCTGTACCTGTAACTTCATTCTAGGAGCTATGGACTTTACTGTTATACTCAGTCCTCATCCAAAACAAAGTTCAGTGTCAGCTGGGATCATGGCAGAGGGTACCTAGTGTCAGATGCTTCATAGCAAAAACTATAAACAAATGTGATGGGGTAAAGAGGCAGGAATATCCCTGATCTCAAAGAAATCATTGGTTTTAGGCCTTAAGTACAAATATCTTGTGTAAACAGAACTACTATGTGAATTAAGTAGCCTGGAGGAAGTAACAACAATGCTGGCTTACTTTTGATCACCACTGCAATCCCACAACTCAAATCGACACCCAGCTCCCTTGCTGTTACCATTCAAGTTTGGCTTCTCATACTCCAGGATCCTGTGAGAATGAGCAGATATAAGATGTGGTATCATTCTACGCACCACTGCAACCAGAAAGTGGGACTTTCTGAGGGGCAGACATTGTCAGGGGGTTGGTTCAGTCAGCATGCCACGAGGTTTCACTCACCTTACACCTTGTGTTGGGCTGTAGCTGCCAATCCCTTCTGTGCTCTCCGAAACAAAGTTTGCCAACACCGATTTTCCAGACTGGCAGAAAGCAGGAGTGAAAGACACATGTAGAAATGTAATGTGCCAAAGCCAGGACGAAGAGAAGAACACGGTGTTTACCCCAAGCATTCTGCTTTCCCTCCAGCTAAGGCCCCTGTGCATGCAGGCCTGCCCCGCCTCCCTCTAG